GGGAAAATACCAATGATTGCCTCTTCTCTTGAATAGCTCCGGTTCTTTATTATTTTTTGCTCGCAAATCAAGCGGCATGCCTCCTCTTTGTCATCCATCGCTGTCTCTGTAGCATTTGAGAATCAATATTACATGCAGTATGATCACATTTTTTTTTGTATCCGAATCATTTGTGATCCTGAACATCTGTCACGTACTCGTACTAATTTTAATCCTTTCAGACTCTACGTACATTGCAATGTATTTCAAATTTGAAGAAATTATCCGAAAATTATCTGAAACTATTTAATTCTATCGATATCATCTGAAATCTGATGTACATAATAATATGTATATGTTAGAAAAATAGTAAAAATTTTGAAAAAATTAATTGTTTAGTATGAATTACTTATTTAAGTGCACATAAATTGAATTAAAAAATTTGTTTTTAACAGATTCCAATAAAATTAGATCTGAATTAGGGGCTACCGCCAGCAACATGAATTTTAACTCTGCCATAAGGACCTTCGAGAAACACAGTAAATTTTCTCTCTCTCTCTCTCTCTCTCTCTCATTCCGGATTATATAAAAATCTGTAAAAATTTTAATATACTTGTTTAACAACGAATTTTTTTCATCATAGAAATCGTTAAAGCTTTAACAATGAGTTTTTACCATCATAGAATCGGATTGTATTATATTTACAGATTTAAATTTATGTATCAAAATTCGTAATAAAAATATCGATGGTGTCTTTAAAGACTCCATTTGTCGGAGGCTTAAATTGATTCAGGCAACTGTATTCAATGAACGATCAAAGCAACATAATAGAGCAATTGGCAAAAAAAGCGTAAAATTCTTCTATATATATTTCATGCAAACGTATGAAAAGTTTAATAGCTGCGTGTAGCAACTTAATAGAAAGCTTTTGTTGTTATCAAAAAACACTCGTAGATTTTTAAGCTTACCCGATGCAATTATCCAATTAACGAATACGTATACAAAAGCCATTGTGGTTTTCATGGGCGACATTCCCTGTGTGGGAACCGGAACGGTTTTCCTTCGCAAAATGCAGTGAATTTTGCTTAACGTTATACACCGCACGGTTAATTACTTGCCTCATTCGCGATCGCTACTTTGCCACCAACATCCTCGTCTATCTTCGAACGTTATCGGCTCCCTCTTACTTGCTTCCGCGTCTTTCGTCGTCGTTTTTCAACGGCGTTCATCCGTTACCAATTAGGATAATTCCGCCCTCTTCGTACCGCATCGTTCTACGCGATACACTTTGGTGGCTTGCGACCGTGCTCGGCGAGCCCGAAAATCACGGTCGTTGGTATCATCGATCGGCGGCGCTTCGCAACCGAGCGTTTCACGTTCCGGTAAATGGATTAGGAAAACTTGGTCGGTTTGCGCGATCGTGCAAGATGAAGCTTCCCGATGACGGGCAGATGAAACGACAGGAAAATCATGTTAAGAAAATGTAGAATTACTTCGAACAAGAATTAAGGATGAGCCATTCTTGTTGAACTTCGGCAAGTTTGGCGAGAATAGTTCGCAAAGATGATATTTACAATTGCAGCGAAGAATGGAAAGAAAAAAATAGATATACGTAATATTCTTGAGGCTTTCACGGGTGTTACCTATGTGACAATCTTGCGTTTCGCGGGTTTTCTCCGGAGAAAACCCGCGAAACGCAAGATTGTCACATAGATATACGTAAATTTTTATCGATTCTAGAATTTCATATTTATTGAAATGAATTGAAAGATGAGGCTTTAAATCTCAACAAAATTTGTTAACGTATAATATAAATTTGGGTAAATTTATTCAATTTTATTCTTTTAAAGTTTGATTAGATGGGTGTCTTATTACAGATCTAAGCTACTTGACCTTGTAACCAGCAGCGATATACCTACTTATCATTTCTGTGTATTTAGAGCTTGATAAACAATATATTACAATTACATTAATTTTGTTCACTGAAGATGGTTTGAATAAAACCAAAATATATGCATTTGATTCATGCACTGAATAAGAAGAATACATTAAATTATCAATTTGCGCAATTACACTGAGAAAAAAAGATATAGTTTGGTAACATAAAAAGAGAATTATTCACAAATGATCAATTATCATTGGATTATTTTGTCAAAATTACAAAATACAATATTTTTTTGTTAGATGAACAAAATTTTTTTATTTAACAGTACAAATTTATTTGGTTATTTACGTTTTGTAAATAACAATGTAAAATTTAGTTGCCATTACAAAATGAATATTCTTTTATTAATTTCAACAAAATAATCCACTATGGTAGAGCGAGGAACGTTTCGCGGAGCTGTCAGAGATGGCGTGTCTTCTCGTAAGAGAAATTCAATGTCTACCTATACAAAGCTAGGATGAGAGACTACTCTCGTGAACTTCTCGGCTCTCGCCACACCATGACCAATCATGGTAACAATCATTTTATCAGAGTGATAATCTCAATTGATCGAAATCTATATACACTTTGCCAAGGAAATTCAAAAACGTCAAACATAATTTCAGTCTGTAGAAAAAGTGAAAGATATATATTATTCTCGTGTATACATATAACCGTTTTGTTCCGGCAACAAATGTTCTATTTCTAATTATAAAAAATTTATAAACATCATACAAAAAACACTTTTATATCATTAAATTATTAGTTCATTTAATAAATTCAATAAATTAATATTGTCGTGGTAATCAACGATTTGATTGATCATATATCAACAAATAGTTTTTGTGTCAGTAACAAAATTTTGGTTCTTGATACAAAACATTTTTCTCAGTGTACCACGCTTAACTCTCATTCGCTAGGTATATTTTCTTTTATTTTATAATATAAAACGTTTTCTTAGGTTTTATCTATTAGGGGAGACCGGGGATAGTAGACTCATTTTTCAGTTTCGAATTTTTACAGATGAAATTAAGAGACTTATCGAAAAAATGAATTCTACACCAGTTACTACATACATTTGGCTATCTAATAATATTTTAATAATAAGGGGAAACTGATAACTAATATAAAAAAAATTCATTTTTTAAATGCATTCCATCTGGTTCAATTAGCCCCAGGAACGGGGTAAGATGATTAATGGTATGGGGTAATTTGACTAACACTATTAAAATGAAAATTAATGTATATTTTAAGGTACATCTTAATTACATAATAACGAAACTTTTAATAAAATGTATTTTAAACACAAACATATTTATAAAACTTTTATAAAAATGTATTTTGAGAACACAAACATATTCATAAAATAAAAAATGTTTATAACTTTGTACCTTGTTATTAGATAAGTAATTTATCTAATCCGAATCGTCATCCAAATTGCAGTTGTAACAAATATAATATGATAAGTTACCCTTTATGCATTTAGAATGTGCCCACATGTTACATTTCGTGCACTGTATCCACTCTTCTCCTGGAATACTTTTTAAATAACTTTCTGTGCAAACGAGACACATTTCATCATCTATCTCATTCGAGGATGAAGAATTTAGTTTATTCAAAATGTTTACAATAATTTCCTTGTAACTTTTTCAACCAAAGGATATTTTCCTTTATTTGGATTTGCCTTACTTTTTCCTTTTCTTGTTGTCTTGCTTTTTTGTTCGATTTCTTTTCCTTTCTTGTTGATTCTACTTTTCTTTCTTAGATTATCGAGCTTCTGTTTCATGAGTGCATCTTTTTCTGGTGAGTCTGTATATATTGCACTAGTACGTTTACGAGTATTTCTTCTTTTTTCTTGACGCCGTCCCGCTTTTGGCAGAGGTCTTATATCCTGAAGTGTGACTATTAAGCTAGACATCGAAGATGGGTTGACATTTTCCTTGACAGATGAAAGATATAAATTTTCCTGGGTAGCTGAAAGATCGACATTTTCCTGGGCAGCTGAAAGATCGACATTTTCCTGAGCAGCTGAAAGATCGATATTTTCCTTGATAGCTGAAAAATCGATATTTTCTTTGATAGCTGAAAAATCGATATTTTTCTCGGAAACTGAAAAATCCATATTTTCCTCGTTAGCTGAAAGATCGATATTTTCCTGGACAGAAAGAAATTTATCGTTCGCAGCGTTGATAATAGTAGAAATATCTTCTCTATCGGTCACATAAGATCCTAAGAATTCACTTTCAGGAAATATATTTTCATTTAGAGGAGATATTCCTGAAACGCGGAAACCTGCCTGAATATTTGTTGAAGTTGTCGCCAGAGGTAATGCAGTTTTTACTATTTCTGGAATGTGATAAATAGATAAAGTTTTTCCTGGATTACTAGCTAGCCAGTTGTCGCATGCTGTATTGACATATTTTTTCAAAGGTCCATATACAGATCTATCTAGAGGTTGCAACTTATGACTGCAATGAGGAGGGAACGATAAAACTGTAACTCCATTCTGTTTGAAATAATCAAGCGCCTCAATAGAAAGGTGAGATTCATGATTATCAAGTAAAAGAAGAACAGGCCTCTCTTTAGATGGTCTAACATGACGAACAAAATGTTTACAATATTTTATGAAATTTTCTTCTTTCATCCAACCTGATGGATTGGCATCACCTTCAGATCCAAGAGGGCCTCCTTGTATAAAATGATCTTTGTAATTGACTCTTGGAAATATAAAAAATGGTGGGACCATATTTCCTATAGCTGAAACTGCAACTGCAACGGTAATGAGAGTCCCTCTTTCAGCTGAAGTCATCTTCCCTAGTTGCTTTATCCCACGACGTGCAACTACACGATTAGGAGTGTGAACAGTAGTAATCCCTGTCTCATCCATATTCCAGATGTCAGATGGCTCCATTCTTAAACGATTATAGACTGTTTTCAAATTTGTGAAGAACAAATTAACATTATGTTTATTAAATGATGTTGCTCTAGAAAGACTTGTGGCTTGTGGTGATCTTATTGATAAACTGTTATTGCGTTTCAGAAAAGATGAGAACCAATCTTCACCTGCCATTTTGTTTTCATTCCAAGAAGCTGGCACTTTACTTCCATTTTTTATTGCAAATTGATAAGCCAATTTTCTTACTTCTCTGGGTGTTAAACCATAATAAATATCTGCTGCTTTTTTAACATATTCCACTAAAGCAATTTCTTCCGTATCATTCAAAATTTGACGACTTTTGATATAACCTACATGAGTTAATTGAATATTCGATACTTGACTGGAATCTTCTCCTGTAGCTTTTAATTTTGTAACATATCGATGCAAGGTTTTATATGGAATATTATATTTCAATCCTGAAGAACGAATGCTTTTTCCTTCTAAAATTACTTCTTTACATGCAAATTCCATAATGTCCTTCAGAATATTTCCTTTATCTGTCTTTCGCTTGTACGTCCTCATGATTTGCTGTAATTAAATTAATATCTTAGTATTTCATAATACTGTTCGGTAAAAAATTTTTCATACATGAATATGTATAAATATACACAAACATATATGATTGTATTCTATTACCTTTAAAAATAATTTTACAAAAAAAAGAAGGATATATGAACATATATGGACATACTTCATACATAATTATATATGTTTATGAATATTTATACATATTCATGCATGAATTCTTATACATGTAATTTAATTATGATATTTTATTGCGTATTTTTATTATTAAAATTTATTAAAACTACAAAAATTATTGCATTATAGATGGATTTAAAAAATAAAAAAGAATACTCTCTAAATTCTTTTAAGTGAAATCTCAATGAGAGTGAAAATACATACAGTTACTTATGGAATAGAGTGAGATCACCTTGGTAAAAAAAGTTGGTAGAGAACGATTGAGAACGATAGGATTTCTATCAATTTGTGTCGTTTTCTATAAGTTTATATCATTTCTATTGTTGACCTCGCGAGCATCACGATTGATATGATTCCTATCGTATATTTTATCAGATTTTATAAGATTTGTACAAGAGTCCTATAAGATCTGATTCAAATTAGTGAATTTACGAACCAAATTTCATATTCAAAACATGCTATCGACGTTTTTACCAGGACGTAGCGAATGACAGATTTCCTAACCTAACAAACTTTACCGATTAATATTTCAATTTGCAAGGCAGAACAATGCTTCTTTTTGCTAAATTCGTTCTTTTTGTGCAAAAACACGTCGAAAGAGCCTAGTTTTATCGAGATTGGACGCGAGGGAACTAAACTTATAACATTTACCACTGAGGTAAATCTCTTTAAAAGAATGAAATATTGCCATTCTTTTTCAAGAAATTGGTATATTTTCACTCTTTTTCAAAATTGACTGTATTTTCATTCTTTTAGAGTGAGATTTCATTCCAAGAAGTTTGAGAGTAGGTACTATCAGAATCGTCACTAAATTAGTCATATAGCCCCGTGTTATGGTTAGCCTACTAGTCCCATCCGTTCATTTTTTAAAAACATTAACAGTATACAATAACAAAGACAGATAAACAAAAAAAACCTGTTGGACTTTATTAAGTAAGAACTACACTTACTATATAAATGGAAATCAAATATCTCAGACAATTATACACAATTGTAAAACAAAAACTTTAAGAATGAAAATATTTACTTACGTGTTCGATTTTTTTAAATTGTAGCGTAACTTTTTTGAAAGATGCGTCTGCCTCGCGATATCACAACAGACTGAGCGGCAGTCACTGCTGCGTGCTCAGACACGTTTACGCGAGTCTCGCGCTATTTGTTTGCAACGTAGCTTCGATTAATCTACTTACCCCTATAGCCTAATGACCCCGGTCTCCCCTACTTCGTAATAAATGAAATTATTTTTGTGAATCATTATTTAGTTGAGGTTTATTCACATTTTTTTATTTTTGAAATATTTTAGGCATCCGTCGTCATCGAATGTTTAGATTGATTTAGTGGTATATCTCTGTTTCGACAGTTCTACAATATTATAGTACGAGTTGAACTCGCAGGATTATGCTATAATTAGTACCAGTTGCGTTATACAAGTTCTATCTATGCGGAATTTTTCAGTGATTCAAAGAGTTTCTTTATGTTAGAGAGATGCATCACGGAAAAAAAATGTAGCTATCGTAAAAACTGCATGTGGTAACTAAATGGCAGGTGTAAAATATGGACAGCTAAAATATAGGTACTATAGCTAATGTCTTAGGTGTGATACTATATTATAGCAGCAACAGCAAACCATTTTGCTGTAGTTAATAAATTTATAATTACGGCAGCAAATATATTATAACAAATTAAGATTAGCTGCGGCAGAGAAAATCTTTTTTTCTGTGATCGCAATAAACGGTCAAAGCGATATTTTTTCATGTCGCGGTTTGTTGCCATTGTAGCATCTCGTTCCCATTGCAACTATCAAAGTTGCATCTCTGTTGCCAGCGGGCTTCGTTAAATTTTCGCAGCAACCGTACGTTACGTCCATTTGAAAGTCCTTCGGTTTGCATTGCTGATCGTCCTGAAAGTGAACGAGGTACTAAAAGAGGATTTAATCTCTCGATCTCGCGTCGGCTTGTGTGTCCATTCGTTTCTCAATATCCCGCCATTCGATTCGTTGAATTTTACGAATTTTCGCAGATCTTTCTCTCTCTCTCTCTCTCTTTAGGCGGTGGCGATAATTGCGATAGAAATTTCCCAACGACTACGGTACACCGCTGAGTGTTTAGCGTCGCTTGTTCGCGAAAACACCGAGCAAGCCTGAGAGCAGAGTTTTCCCAAATACGTTATTATTTCGCAGTATTATTACACGAGAGATGGTTGGTTTGTTGAGAAAACGTGACAGTACGTCGAATAAATATTTGAACAGTGAACGATTGTTCGACCGCATTGTTTGCAATTTTTACTTTATGATCTTTTTTTATTTATTTTTTTCGTAATTTGACCGTGTTTGGTCTGTTGTTTCACGTACATTCAGACTTTTCGTGCTCATCGAATTGAAAACTTTACAGCTACGTCAACAGCTAAACATACACGAGTGTTTAAAAAACATGCGGTTATCCCCGATTATTATTGTTTTGTCGAATTCGGAATCAATTTGATGACACAATCTGTCGAGCGACCGACAAATTTTTGTTGTTACATACATATCCTGTAATCCTCTAAACTAAATTGGCTTAAAAATAATCAAAAGCATTTCGTTATTATATTTTCATAGAAAATAATTTATTAAAAGCTTTACTGTTGAACAATTTGACTTTAAATAATTAATTAGAATAATTATTCTTGACATCTTTATTTTTCGAAGTTTTACAGTTTAGAAGCGTGCTATTATTGAGACATTGTATAACAAGCACAAACTTTTGCCGCAGGTGCAACGGGTTCGATGTGACAAAAGTAAGACTTTGTTTGCAGTTTCGAAAGTCCGCGTGAGATTCCTTTCGGATTATTATCTGAAATTTCATGGGCATTAGGCGTCTGAGTCCTATCTTCCTTATTACTGCAATCCAACCAATGTCCCATTCGGTGTTAAGAGACAGTCTTGTGCCCAGTAGTCGTGGTTTCCTTTTAATGATCCCAGCAAATGAGAATGACTAGCAGTTAAAGTACGATTGCCTAGTTTTATGGCAAAATGCTACGTGCCGTACCGATAAGCATAGTACTAAAACCATTTCGGCAAAGGTCTCTTATTTGATAATACAACTTTCCTTTTTATGATAGGTATATATTTAGTTCTCCTCAGGCAGTTTGCTGATTCTTATTGATATCGTTCTTCAATTTTTATTTCGGTCTATATTTGATGTTTTAAATATTACGTCTAGTGATTTAACTCTTATAAAAATTTTATTTTTTCGTAGGATTACATAGTTCAACCAGTTTTCGATTATTTTATTGAAAAATTCTCTTGAAAAATTTTGATGTATTGATGAGTTATGTATGTTCCAGTAAAGCTTTGATTTTAATGGAACAAATAATCTTTAATGAAATAAAATAAAAATATTATATCGCGCGGTTTAAAACGGTTTTATCGATATATTACGAAGCGAAATAAATACATCGTGCGTGAAATGGTTAAATTAATTTACATCAACGTTCAATTGTAGAAACGGAACAGTTATGAAACGATATGTAAGCGTTTTTCATTATACGAAGATTTTCTATCATATTTTGGTCATCTTCATTGAGATATTTTTTTAAGGTATTCTCTAATATAAGTGAGAGTAAATTTTTCATTCCTTTTATTGAAACAGAAAAATAGGAGAAACTGGAAGTGAGTTTTGCTAAATAAAATGAGAAAATATTTTAGATAAATATTTTTTTTGTAAGGGGAAGGTGTTCTCGTATAAAATATTTTGTGAGCCTTTCAAAGGGGTAAGTAAATTTGTACAACCGACTTTCTTGCATTACTTCTAAAGCACGAGCCGAGATGTAGCAAACCGTACTTGGCTTCGACTAAACATCTATAGCGACCGTTTGCTCGGGGGAAACGAACTACGCTTCTCGCTTGGCGTTCAAGTAAGATTTCGTGAATCGAGTTTGTTGAATGAATGACGGAAGAATGAATATTCGCGTAGTAAAATAAATGTTACAAATCGCGTTATGTGACGCGTTGATTTAAAAATTTTTTAATTTTTTGTCTGAAACTTAAGGAATATATGATTAAGATTGTACTATTTAATTATCATACGAATTATACTGATTAGAACGAAAATTAATAGAAAGATTTATATTCTACAACGGTTAATAAAATAATTAGATATTTGTTGTACGCGATCAATAATAATAATAATAATAATATTTTCAGTAGATCTTTCTATTTTTGCGCTTTTTTAACGTAATATAGTATTACATTGGTAACCTAGAATAATAATAGAGTTATGTTTAAATTTTATATAAGAAAGAAGTTTAATCATACGTTCAATTATTACAGAATCTCACGTCGTCGATTGTTAATGGATACATATCAGCAAAGTCGACGATCCGAGGAGTCGCTCATGGATTATACAAGCGAGAATCGCTTTCACTTGGCACACATGATCGTTCGCGCACACATGAAGTGCTTCGCGTCTATTTGTTACCAGACTTGCTATTTCGGCTTTCGTCGTTGCTCGTCGAAGTCGAGGCATATACTCGCACGCGCCCGCGCGATCTAGTATGACGTTCTAATTTCACGTAACCGCGTTAAAGCTAACCTGCATCGTGGAAAGTGCGGAAGCTTAAGGAACCTGTGCCGCCGTCCTACGAATGACGAAGGTAGCAATAGCAGAGAAAGGGTCTTTGCAAAAGAGACCGCAGTTGGGCAAAGCAGAGCGAAATTTAAGCTCTAAACCACATTCTAACATAGCGTGGTTACTGTATAACTTATACCACAGCGCAGTCTGACTGAAGGTTACGACAGGAAATAAATGGTTCAATTGATAACAAATTTCAAATTTTGTCGACAGCACCTCGCAAGTAGAAGAAAAACGCTGATGGTAAATTTAAAATTATTAAATGTATTTTTATTAAGACCACAGCTAGATTTATATAATTTTTTAAAATATGATATATTCCTTATATTTTTTATAAATAATATGAATGTAGATTTAACACCACGCGGTATTTATATATATAATTTTCACCGTGTTAGTGTTGATATAAACACCAACATAGTAAGAGAGAATTATATGTATAAATATCTTATGGTGTTAAATTAATATGTTCATATTTTTTAGAGTACCTATAATGTCTTATATTTAAAAAATCGTAAAATTCTAGCTGTAATTTAAAAAAAAAATATTATTTAATAATTTAACATTTATTATCAATGGAAGGAGAGAGGTAATATGGATTTAACATCATGCTTATATAATTCTTATCTTATTGATATAAACATTTTCAACACAGTGAAAATTATATAAACACATTGATATTAAATCCATATCCATTTTTTAGAGTGTAATTCTTCTTTAATCAACACTGTGATGAGTTTAGAGATAATTTTGATAATTTCTACAATTATCTAAATATAACCACAAAAGCTCGTTGTCATGTATTAACTTACGTAATTTCCAATGAACTCGACACAGCCCAATGCAATTTTCAGACTTTCTCCCAATCGCCATACACGTCGACTGTCAGTGAAACTACGAAACGTTCATATATTTTTTCGGTTTGAGGTTTAAGGACTCGCCACGTAGTAATTACGAGTTAAATGCACGGCCACAATCTTCCTGTGTCTCGCTCTGTTTCTTGTAATTGAGAGATTCAGCTTACGAGTTCTTCAAGATTGAAGTTCCTGATGAATACTCGCGCGAATTGGCCGCTTTACGACCGTAACTTGATGATACTACTTTTTCTTTTGTCATTATCATCTTGGTTGTCGAGCTCTTCAAACATCTACCACCTGTTTCCGATTCCGCACGCGATGGATTCACGACTCATTTCGGCACACGACGCCTCGTAAAAATATTTTACGAGTGGCCAATGGATCCTACCGTCTTTTTTTCATCATTACGATCGTCTGACATCGTTTCCGATGCGCATTTTTGCGAGTAAATGCACGTTTTGCTGTCGAAAAAATTATTTCGTTGATACGGAGATGCGAACCTCTTGGGGTAGTGCTTTACGATCGACGTTTTTTCCAAGAGATAAATTATTGATTACAAATTTTTCGTGGCCTGAAAAATTGCATGAAAAGAGGCAATATACTAAAGATAAAATATTAAAAAGATACTGTTATCGAGTTTGATATACACATAGTAATAATGTGTACGTATTAGAAGTAAATCTTGAGGAAAAGTAAATAAGTAAATCTGAATCGAGATTTTGAGAAAGATTAATTATTGGTTTAGTAA